TTGATTATTTTAGATGTTGATGAAGCAAATGATTCAGAAGGTGAAAAAGATGCAAATGATGATGAACAAATTGTTCATCTCAAAAGTTTATCAAGTAAGTAGAATCTTCTGAATTTGCAGAAGTAAATCAGCTTTCGAATGTTTACGTTCTTGAACATAGCCCGATGTTTCTTATCCATTATAAGTAATATGTAGTTATATCTTTTAATTAATTGACTTGCTAGAAAAAACTTGTAGAAAGAAAATCTTATTTAATTAAAAAAATTGTTTCCCTGAGAAATATTTTTTTCATTCCATTTTGATAGAATTAATATTGGTCTTTATTTATTATATTTTTAGCTTCAGATTTCTTAACAAAACCACGAACACCACAACAAAAAACATATTCTATTTGATCCACTTGTAAAAATCCATCGTCGTTCTTCAGCGTTACATTCTGTAATAAAGAAGACAATTGATAATCTTCAAACACATATTCAAGGTACATTATCACCTATGAATTATCCTTTAGATCTTAATAATTTTAATTTAGTAAGTTCTTCTGAAATTATTGATAGCTAGAAAATCTAAAAAGATAGGTTAATATAAGGATTCCATAGAATGTGTATAGATTCTACAAATTTTATATTCGTAAAAAGTTTTATTCCTATAGTATATATGAATAAATATACTGTTCTCTTTTTCATTCTCTCTGTTTTAGATGATGATCGTTCTAGTGATGAAGAAAATAACCATTAATTTTTAACATCTTGATCAAGTTTGAATTGTTTAACTTTTTTATAGCAAAATTAATGTATAATCCATTTTTTGTAGGTTCGTCTCTCATCAAACATATGGATATGCAATTTAAAACAATTCGACAAGAAAATGAAAAAAACTATATGCAATTATGAAAAAAAATCGATCGTAAACATCATTTCGATACAATAAGTACATTGCATCCTTCTTATTACTTATTTGACATTTTCAATTACTTTTTTCTAGATTAATCTTTCTTCGTTTCGTGAATCAGGTCAGGATCAAAAACTCGATGATGTGGTTTGTTTTAAACTTTCTTTTAATTCTATTTTCTACTTTACTGTTTAGATATACAAAGGCATTAGTTTAACACGTATTCGAAGAAAAAATATTGACGATTATGGTAGACAAGTACTTTGTGAAATCTTCTCACATGAAGAATTAATATCTTCAATTTTGCTTCCAGGTATTTCTCAATATGCTCGAAAGCCTTTAGATTTTGAAAAGTTCGAGTTCCTTCATGGTATATAATTTTATAATTTTTACAAATGCTAAAGCAAGACTAGGATAATGCTGTAACGAAATTTTTCATTTATTCATCGCAACATAGTTCTAGGTGAATCTATTTCTGGAATTTGCAACAGAGTATTGACCATAACGAAAGCGCTTCTGCATTTTTTATTAGAAAACAGAATGATTTTCCTTTTTGACTAATCTTAGTGGAAGAAAAAGTATTATTTGTGGGATGATAAGAAGTTTTCTATCCTGACAACTATAATTGATTAACTGTCTCACAACTATGTATAAATATATATATATGAATATGTAGCTATTCATGGATTATTTTCAGAATATTTTTATTGAATCTGAATTTCTGTTTAGATGCTATGCGTAGTCAATATCGAATTGCTGCTGATCGATACAATAAATTTTATAACAGATTAGTGAAATTAAAATCAGCAGATTTTCTGGCTGATGAACGTAAACATGATCGCAAAAGTACATGAACATAATCTTTAATATCTTTATCTCCTGGTGATACTTCATAAATAAAAACTACACTATGTAGTGGAGTCGTTAAAGTAAGATTTTTATCTCTTATTTTTTGTTTTTTTTTCTGTAACAAATTATCAATATGAAAAATTGTCTTTTAAGCACTTATTTTTTGTTGCTGTACAATAACATTTATTGTCATTGTGTGTGAAAACTATTTAAAAATAAACAAATGCATAATATTAATAAAGTTAATAGAATATATGGTTATGAAAACTTAACAGAAACCCATCGGATCCTGTAGTTTCCGGATTTTTCCGACAGAATCCGGGATCTGGATTACTCGTCCTGGGTGAGTATATGTTATAATTTTATGAAGTAAGAAAAAACATTTGGTGTTCTTTATTTTCTTAAAATGAAGAAAAAGAAGAGTAATGCATCATGCAGAGATGTGATGACGTACGATAGTGGTGCTTCCCTATTTGAAGAAAATTTTCATTCTTTCTTAGGGAAACTTGTTACTTTTATTGACAAAAAAGATTGTAGCGCGAAAAAGAAAATTTGCACCGCTTATTTTCAAAAACTTGTATGTGTATCTTTCATGCTGTTAGAAATATTTTATTGCATCCCCTCAACTCTTTTTTTTCTTTGTCACATTCCTGGCTTCATATGGCACTTGAGTGAATGATGCTTTTCTTTACAATCAAAAGAAACTGACGAAAGTAAAAGTGAACAATCAATGAAAGCGTGTAAATTATTTATCAATATAGTAATCGATTATATTAGCTCTTATTTCGATAATAATAGTGAGCTATTTGAAAATTTATCATTTTTTTCATACACAATCATTTCAGTTTTTTACTTAGGAAGATGTTTAGATATTGATAATGTATTTCACATAGGTGATTTAGATAAGAATCGATTATACAGTAATTTTTGTTATATTAAATGTTTATATGATAATTTGAAACAAAAACATCAATTTAGTAGACTGATAATAAATAACACGAGTTCATTGATTATTTTTATTTTTATTTTTTGAATTTATTTCCAAAAAAAATTATGAATACGTTGGACTAATCTTCAGTCCATTATCAACACAAATGACAGGTAAAAGACAGAAAAAAAATTTTATTATATATATATATAATAATTGTTTTCATTTCTTGTCGTTCTTTTCTTTAACATTGCAATGCACAAGCAAACGTTTCTTCCCCTTGCGTTGCAATGTTAAAGAAAAGAAGAACGAAAAGAAAAGAAAACAATAATTACGTATATAATAAATATTTTCCCTTTCTTTAATTGTAATTTGTGTTAATAACGGACTGAAAATTAGTACGAAATCTTCACAATTTGTTTTTGAAATAGATTCAAAAGAAAATAAAAACTATCAATGAATTTGCATTATTTTTTATCAGCCTATTTAAATATATCTCATCGGACGAAATCCATATTATCAAATTAAGCGATGAAGCTCGATCATATATCTAGAGTAAAACAGATTATTTTTCTGCGTCGATAAAAGTTAGCCATCAAAGTATTGCATATATTGATAAGATAGGGTCTGATCAGTTGTTCCCTTTTTTTATTAAGTCACATCAAATAGTTTGAAATTTTCGATCTTGTACCAATTCAATAAAAATTACATCATTCGAGAGAGCATAAAAGTTCAGCAAAACCTTTTAATTTTTTGCGGAAGCATACTCCCAAGTTTCCACAAAAAGTTTTAAAATAGATTGTCAAGAATAAAACAGCAACAATCATTCAGTCTCTCTATATCTCTTTCTCCGATTGACCTATGTTTTTTTGTTATTTTGTTTTCATCATTGTGCTTGTCATGCACATGAATGTATCAGCTTGTACATATATTATATGTCTAGCCAATAGTAAAAGAAAAACAAATCTTGTCATACTGTTCATGATGAAGATGATGATATCTTAGTTTAATTCAAAAACAATTACTAATTTAAGAAATCTTTCTGAATAAAATTAAGACACTTATTTGGAATTATATTTGATTATTGTTTTGAGAGAAATATGTGTTTGAAAATGGAATATTTGAAGCTTTATTTATTGTTGAAAAATATTTATTGAGTTTCTGATCATTTTATATTCTTTGTTGTTTGACAAAATCTATTTCAATTGCTGTTATTTCTATTGAAATATTTAAGATCAATATTTTTTCCTTTTCTTTTCTCAATCACCAGTGTCAATGTTCGATAAGAGATCCTATCAAAAAAAAGCATGTGTGTCACTCCACAACCACATATGCTGATATAGAGAATTATGGTCTTGATCGAAAGGAATCATTGTTCTCTTTTACAATTTTCCTATTATTTTGCGTCTGTAATTCGACTCATAACGTATATGATGATTTTCCTAAACTCTGAAGAGTTCTAGATTCGATCAAAACAAACAGACATTGTGGTCAAATGGATTGTCGACCAGAAAATCACAGCTAGTTCTTTTTTGTAAGAATAAATTGTCATAAAGCTAAGATTGAAAAATCATTGAATATCATTGTTGTGTCTTGTACTGTACTAGATTGACGTTTTTTTCTTCGGTCTCATTTAAATTTTCTTCTCTGTTAATGTACTATCACCTGTTGAACGTTGCTATGCTGATCAATACTTGTGAGATCATTAAGACAACGAAACGCAAAAACGAATGGAAATCTTTTACTTTTTGCTGTATGGAAATAATTACATTTTTGGAAACATATAACAAATGCAAATGTCCGAATCATTTTCAATCTCAAATGGTATTTTTTAAAACACTCTTCGTCAATAAAAGTCGTTGCAATGATTCTAGCTATTTTTATTTTCTCACATCTTCTATGGCTTGCCTATGTGCACCTCTGTGTGCATTGAGAAGAAATGAAAAGAATACAGCAGTTAATCAGCACGCCATAAATGATAGTACGATCGTCTTCAATAGAGATTACTTGAAATTCATAAAAACAATCGAAGAATTACGACAACATGTCATAAGAAAACGAGCGATTTACTCAAAATAATTGATAAATGAAAATACACATTCTGTCGAATTTCATTCATATATTAAATCATATCATTCTAGCTATTTGAACATTAGATGAATTCTACTCTTTTATAAAAGTAAAGATTAATTCAATTCAATACAACTACGCAATAAACTAAATAAGATCATTGCTTGTTTTTTTCGTTCAAGTGTGGTCATTAACTTGTATATATGATAGTAGACGACAAAATACATATATAGAGATACATTGATATTAAATATAATCCTTTTGAAAACTATATGATATGAGAGAAAATCACCATGTTTGTTCACAAATTGAATCAAAGACATAGTACTTAAGTATTATTATAAAAATAATGAGCAGTTTGTTTTTGATCCACAAACGAAATATTATCATTTTACTCTTTGTGCTAGCAATGCTTTCGATCATCGTACGTATAAACATTTGCATTGAACAATACACCTGCCATTTTTGATAGGATCTCTTATCGAACATTGACACTGGTGATTGAGAAAAAAAAAAGGAAAAAATATTGATCTTAAATGTTTCAATAGAAATAACAGCAATCGAAATAGATTTTGTCAAACAACAAAGAATATAAAATGATCAGAAACTCAATAAATATTTTTCAACAATAAATAAAGCTTCAAATATTCCATTTTCAAACACATATTTCTCTCAAAACAATAATCAAATATAATTCCAAATAAGTGTCTTAATTTTATTCAGAAAGATTTCTTAAATTAGTAATTGTTTTTGAATTAAACTAAGATATCATCATCATCATCATGAACAGTATGACAAGATTTGTTTTTCTTTTACTATTGGCTAGACATATAATATATGTACAAGCTGATACATTCATGTGCATGACAAGCACAATGATGAAAACAAAATAACAAAAAAACATAGGTCAATCGGAGAAAGAGATATAGAGAGACTGAATGATTGTTGCTGTTTTATTCTTGACAATCTATTTTAAAACTTTTTGTGGAAACTTGGGAGTATGCTTCCGCAAAAAATTAAAAGGTTTTGCTGAACTTTTTATGCTCTCTCGAATGATGTAATTTTTATTGAATTGGTACAAGATCGAAAATTTCGAACTAGATGACATGATTATTCCAAATTCAACATCAAATTTTTATAGTTATTGAGCATATCACATCTTCGTAATTTCTTAATGAAGAGGACTTCATTTGAAATTAGTCTTCTTTATCAAAATGTAGAGTTCTGTTTGCTTTATTCAGTATTATATTTTGTTTCGAAATTAAAATCAGAAAGGTGATTAGAACATTGTTCATAAAGATAAGCAATCTGATCTGATTGCTCGGTTCAACGACGCTTATTTAACAAGCATTTTGAAATAGTGTCTAGTCTCAATTCTATGCTGTATTGAATACGAATGAATAAATTATAGATGGATGATATACCGATTTCTTAGACAATGATAAAAAGTACAGCAGTTTGCAGAATCATGGCGTCGGTAACTATGAGGTTCATAAGTATATCTTTATATTTTTCAATACCATTGGGTTCATCAGTAGCTTCTTGTTATCCTTCTTATATCCTTTTACTATTATATGTTCACGAGAATAAGTATTAGAAAATGAATTTAAAATCTTCTGATAGATCTTACTTTAACTTGATGTTCAAGAAATCGGGCTTTTTTTTCTGAAATACATATGCGTGTTTCATCTCTAGTTCTGGTACATTTTGTGGATGCAAAAATATTTTTCAATCGCTTACCGAAGAGATAGAAGTTCCGTCAAAACGGACGCAACGAAAAGATGGAAAGTGTGACTTTTACTTATACGCTCTTTAAGAATAGCTCTTGTGGATTGTTCTTGCTAAATGTGTCTCCTGAACTGTGAAACCATTTAACGGTAGATAAAAGACAATAAGAGTTTATGCTTGCAGGGTGTTAATAGATTATCTATTAGATTCTCCACAAACATAAGGATGTGCTTGTGGTTGTGAATGTAAAACAACTAGCTTCGGTTATGTGAGGAAATG